AATGTTTCTAATCGTACGTTAATCAGTTGAATCATCGTTGGAATTTAATAGCAGTTTTAGCTGTGGAATCCTGTTGGTAAGGCTTATACTCTTTGTGAACAGTTTGTAATCAAAGATAAGGATAACATTGTTAATAAAGACGAGGATTACGAACTCCAATGCTCAGGAGATTATTATGATATAGATTCTCTCGCTCTAATGGATCGAGGATGGTGTCGTATCTCGCTATAATGACTACGTTTAAGTTCTTCTGTCTATTGCCTGAGAAATATCTTGTTACCTTTTCTCGGAGGGTTAACAGATTAACGGTGTTTAAGTCTACACCATAAAAAGCCTCAAAACTTTGATGAGCATCTCAATTCAGCCAGAAAAATCACCCACGAGTGGTAACAAGAGAGAACCAAATATCTTAAATCTTTAGAACAAACTCTACGAACCAATGAAAAGGGGAGTTATCATGAATACTAGCTTTGCTTTGGTGAAAATCCATATGGAAATGGCAAAATACGATATTAACCTTTCTGATAATTGTGGCAAAGTTCTTGTTTATAGTAATCATGATAAACGGGTCGTTTTGTGCGAACTCCCTGCTGCAATTATCCTCTCTTTCTGACTTGATAGAGCTTCGATCAGCTCTTATTGTTAAGTGTGTCTTCAGTAGTTCCCTTAGTTACACCGCCATCATGTTAAACATTATGACAATGTACCACATGCAGAAGGCTTCATCTTTGCCAATAGTTCAATAGATTCTTCAATACAGCACTAGCCGCGTGAACGACCCTTAACCCTTCCAGTGCAAAGATCTCAATATCAATTCTTCTTGGTGTCTGCCAAACAATTCTTATAGTTTTATTTTGCAGAATGTTGTATGGAATTGGATCGACTTATAATCCCCTGATTGGTATTTTTCTTTAGTCTCATCACCTTTCTGTTTGATGTAGCATTGATATTGTGAGCAGAAATTCTGTGTTGGTCACTTACGGGACTTAAAGGAATCATTCCGTTAGACGGCAAGAAAAAATGGCCATTACGCTTAAAACTTGAATTTTAACAATTGGTCCTAAAAAGAAAATAATAATTTGCACAAGCATTACCCTCTTCGCAAAACCAGGCAAATACAGTGCAATACTAATCTTTGTATTCCCATGTTTTAAAACGTTTTCGCAAGGGATGCAGATGTAAATATTTGCTGATAATCTGCTCTAAATGGATCTAAGAGCAAGACTGACTTGCTAGAAACTGACAAGGATGTGTAATAGAAAGCCAAATAATACGATGCAAAACTTTT